GACTTGTAGTGATCCACCTGTTTACAGCCTCCCAAGAGCTGGGATTATAGGCACGTGCCACCATACCCATTCTCAACTGCCATCTCAGTGCGCCCGGGGATGAGGCTGGCACAGCAGGCCTGGAAATTGAACTCTTGGCCCCTGCACCTCCTTGTAGGCACTTTAATCCGCTGAGCTATTTGGCTGGCCCTTGAATGTTTAGACCACAAAGAAATGAAAAATATATGAAGAGATAGATATGCTTATCCCAATGAACATTATACGATGGATAGGTAGACTGAAGTATCACATGGTATACCTCAAGTGAAATGTATAAACACGTAAAATTTTTGTGTGTGGGTTAACAAAAGAACTTATCTTTAAGATAAGACACAAATGCATAAAGTTATATGGACAAGGCTGGTTAATATAGCAGCATTTCTGTAAGATAGTGGAAAATAGCGCAAATATTCATTAGTAGAATATTGCTTAAATTACATTACAATTGGGCTGGGACAATTGAACTCAGGACAGGCTCTAGGCTGCTGTGCTATTTGTAATGTACAGCAGCCTAGAGCCTGTCCTGAGTTCAATTCCTAGCACCAAAAAGAAAAAAAAGAAAAAAGAAAAGAAAGCATAATAAACATATTTATGGGGAAAATTATGAAGAATAGTTTTTCATAAATAATTTCATAACATTTGCAACCTTATAAGAATTACTTTTTTTTTTTTTAGTAAGAATTACTTCTAATCATGAAGAAAACAAATCAACCAGATCAACCTTTTCTTTTCTTTTCTTTTTTTTTTTTTTTCAGATCAACCTTTTCTACAGAGAGCTCACATGCCAAAGAAGTCAAGCTAACTTCTAAACAGGTATTTATGAAGCTCCAGTGATATAATCAGTTAGCGCACAGTACTTTTGTAATAGAGGATTTATTTGAAACTAAGTAAGACTTTACATAAAAAAAAAAAACAAAAAAACTAAGTAAGACTAACTAGGTGAAAGCAAGTGCAATACTCTTGAAATTCAGTGGAAGAAGTTCTTGCTAGTGCTACTGAAAGGAGATACTTCAACTATGCATAAAGCTAGGAGAGATGATTTAAGTTATCAGAAGAAACAGCAGTGGGGGAAATACTGAAAACCATAAAGAAGGGACACAGGATTATGAAAAGTGAGATAAGAATTAGAAAGCAACTGGAAGAAAGAAAAGGAAGAAAAGCATATATATTTCTATGTTTAAGATCTGTAGGGGACGAGGAGATGGCTCAGTAGAATAAGCGCATGCCTGGCAAGCGCAAGGGCCTGAGTTTAATCCCCAGTTCTGCAAAAAAAAAAAAAAAAAAATCTGTGATGGTAGTATGTTATGGCTAATGCTTTCTTAATCTCTGATTAACTGTATCTATAATACTAATTTCTACTGAGCCATCTCCCTGGCCCCTAAAGCAGTATTATTTTGACTGAAATCCACTTGATGTTTTGGTCTTCAGTTTACAAGGCCATAAAATGAAGAAATCACATTAGCTAATAAGTCACAGCAGTGTACTTTGCTCCCTGAGCTTACTAAGCCTGTCTTACTTTCATCTTAAGTTCAGCATTTTCAATCAACCTGAGATAGTATTTAAGGTAGAGTCTATTACCACCCTATAAATCCTTTAGCAAAATTTCAATTCTTTATGATTCGAAGAGTTTCTTAGTGAATATTTTCTACAGTTTTAAAAATTCCTCTGGGCCGGGGAGATGGCTCAGTAGAATACGTGCTTCCTTGGCAAGCGCAAGGGCCTGAGTTCAATCCCCAGTTCCGCAAAAAAAAAAGGGGCTGGGGAGATGACCTGAGTTCAATCCCTGGTTCCACCAAAAAAAATAAAAATAAAAAAAAAAATAAAAAAAAAATAAATAAAATTAATTAAAAAAAAAAACTCCTCTGATAATTCTCTCTTATGAATAGAACTGAATGCATTGTTTGGACTCACCAGACTAATAAACTCTGCCAGGATAACGTAAAGATGATTATGTATATATTTAAATAAATATACATAATATATAAATACATATTTAGTTATTTTTTTTTAGACAGGGTTTCACTGTGTAGTTCAGGCTGGCTTTGAGTTCACTATGTAGCCCAGGTTGGCCTCAAGCCCACAGTGACCCTCCTGTGTCAGGGGCCTTACAGGTATATGCTACCACACCCCGCTATATTTCTTATTCTAAAACTATTTTTATAATAACCTCCATTATTATAACTGCTGTAGTCATGTGCACAAATCTTAAGAGATTCCATACTCATGCAATCTATCAAAAGCCTCATCTATTCCTGACTCTTACTTGGTTGTCAGTAGCAGGATGGATCTGGGACAACACACTGCGCTGCACTGCTACTTTATTTGCATGTGTTCAACAGAACAAGAGCAGTGATTGCAAATGATGATCTGAAAATAACCTTTACCTCAAGGTTATTTTCCATTAAGATATTTAAAAATCACTAGATGTAAGCCTTATCATTTAAAAAGTTGTTCGTAAACAAAAGGAATTTTAAAATAGTAATAAACATCCTTACCAGTTTTTCTGCTTCTGTGTTCATTTCCCTTAATTTCTTGATATGTTCCTTTTTAATCATGAGAATTTTTGATAATTTAGTCTACAAAAAAGAAATGTTTTGGAATAAATAGGCATTCATGTATTTTAGTCAGGCACCACATTTCCAGTTTTTCACTATGATTTATGAGCAGACATTAGTGTCTCAATATAAACATAGCAAGCATTTTATTTTATATATTTGATTAGCTGACAAGAAAATATTTTAAAATCCATGTTAAAAGGACCAAGGAGCAATTTGAGCAAGTTTTTATGACTCACTAGGACAATTTGTGGACTATAAGAATAACTGTATATTTTATGGTATAATGAAGATGGTATTTAGTAGTTGCTTTATATTTAATTTCTTTTTGACAAAATAAATTTAGCACACTAAAAAAAAAGAATAAATGTAAAGAAGTAAAGCTCAAATTTAATAATCTATAAGTTCACATTTATCCTTAAAAAACAAACAAAAAACTCCAAACCTAACTACTATTAGAAACTGCTAATGATCAAACCCATTATTTGGTAAATTGGAAAACAAAACAAAACAAAACAAAAATCACAAAACATTTAACATGTATTTCCTGTACAAACATTACCACTAGGTAAACAAAGAAGTGAGATGTTCTTAACTATTTCAATTTTTAAGCAAAGGAACAACCTAACCAAACTTACAGATGTCAATGACCTTTTCATAGGCTACTAAAAAGAGAAAAACTTGGATCAGAGACATAGCCCAGCAGACTAAGCGCCTGTTTAGGCAAGTGCTGGGACCAGGGTTCCAACCCCAGCACCACAAGAAGCACAGGCCTGGCCCCAGTCCTGTCCCTGTGTACACTCCCCTCCCACCCCATACACTGAGCAGCAGACGCCTGTAACCCCAGGGTTAGGGAGGCTGAAAACAAGAGGATCGCTAGAAGTCTGGGCTGTGTAATGAGGTCCTGTACCACAGACATAAAAATAAATAAATAAAAAATAAATAAATGAGAGAAAAACTTATGTCCTGAGAAAATCTTGAAAACAGCTGTTTATGATTCAGTGCTAAAAGGAAATGAGATATTAAACCATGAAAAGACAAGGAGGGAGCTGGGTATGGTGGCACACTCCAGCTGCACTCAGAGGTTGAGGCAGAAGGATCTTAAAAGGCTAGTCTGGTTTACATAATGAGTTTAAGGCCAACCTACACTACATGGTAAGACCCTGTCTGATAAAAAAAAGAAAGAAAGAAAGAAAGAAAAGGCATGGTAGCACATGCCTATAATCTTAGGATTTAGAGGCTGAGGCAGGAGAATTGCCTCGAGTTCAAGGCAGACTGTGCTACCTAGTGATTTCAAAGTCAGTGTGAACTACACAGCAAGATCCTATCTCAATCCCAACCCTCTCCCCAAAAAAGATGTGGAGGAAACTTAAATATATATTAGTATTAGTATGAAAAATTAATATACTGTATGATTTTATCTATATAACCATCTAGATAAAGCAAATTACGGAGACTGTAAAAACATGAGTGGTGGGCTGGAGAGAGAGCTCAGCAGTCTAAGTGCCTGCCTGGCAGGCACAAGGACCTGAGTTTGATTCCTGGTACCACATGCCATGCTGGTACAAAACCATGGGTAGTGATGCATGTCTGTAATCCCAGTGCTAGGGAGGCAGAGACAGGAGGATCACAAAGTGTAAACTGCACAGAATGACTCTGCATATAAATAAGTAAATAAATAAATAAATAAATAAATGAAAGATAGATTGATCGATCAGTAGTATCAAGGGCTGGAGGGAAGGGATGAACTTTTGCTGGAACACAAAAGATTTTTAAGGCAGTGTAACCACTCTGTAGCATCTTACAATTATTGATAACTTTGTCCTAACCTTTTAAAATATGCAACACCATGAATGAGCCCTAATGAATACTATGTCCTTCTGGTGATGATGCTGCCAGTGTCACTCCACCAACTGTAACAAACATCCTAGTCTGGTGGGGGATGTTGACAGTGGAGGGACTGTACCTGTACTGGGCAGGGGGCATACAGAAAACATGTGCACCTTCCTCTCAACTTTTCTGTCAACCTAAAATTGTTCTATAAAAACAAGATTAAATTAAAAAGTAAGTGAACACGTGGGCATCGATCAAAATATCAATTCTTTAGACATACTATAATTGTAATTAGATGTGCTACCCTACAGTTCTCTCTTTACCAACCCCCTCCTCACACAAAAACATTCCATGTTCCATTTGTAAAAGGGATAAGTCTTGGCTCTTCTCACATTTTCAGTTTTTCATATGTAAATATCTACCTTTGGGCTAAGTGTGCTGGTGCATGCCTGTAATTCCAGAACTCAGAACGCTGAGGCAGGAGAATTGCCATGCATTAGAACCAACCTAAGCTACATTGTAAGATCAAGGCCAGTCTGCACTACACAACACCCTGTCTCAAGGAAGCAAATATCTATCGTTGGAAGCCAAAAGACACAAGAAACTTTATATCATAAAAGCAATTAGGAATATAGAGAATACTACACACATACACACAAATAGTAAGACTTATCTTCAAAACAGTACCAACTACCAAAAAGTAAACACTGAATATTTTAATGGATTATGTTATAAACTTTTTCTGCTGGTACTAGGCAGTGAACTCAGAGCTTTTACACTACATTATATCCCCAAACCTTTTTTTATTTTGAGATATGGTCTCATAAAGTAACTATAATCCACAGGCTAGGTTCAAACTTGTGATAATCCTGTCTTAGCTTCCTGGAGTGCTGGGCTACAGGTATGCACCATGCCTGGCTATAAACATCTTTACTTGGGGCTGGAGAGATGGCTCAGTGGTCTAAGGCACCTACTTGGAACAAGCTTGATAAAGCACAGGGACCGCGGTTCGATCCCCCAGCACCACATACCAGCCAGCTGCGCCCCCTGGTGGGCTGAGCTGGCCACACACACACACACACACAC